TTTAGGAATTTGATTATTACTATTAATAAAGAATATGATACACTGTGATGTCTATGGTCTATTATAAAGGATTAAAATAAGTATAGTAGACTGATATGTTTTGATGTAAAAGCAATATAATCACGAAGCAATTTATCATCATACTGCTTTTAAGAGTTCAAAACTATACTGTATGCAGTGATAACACTGATTTGATGTCAATGAAACTGTTCATGATAAATTGTTTGGTAATTAGTTAGAGGGCTTACAGACGTCTTGATTGAGTAGTATTGGTAGCTATTAAGCTGTTTGTGATAGTAAATTAGGTGTGTGTAATTTTCATAGTCGATTGTAGTAAGTTTACCTGCGTACTAGTGGAATCCAGACGTGTGTAAGTCGTAGTAAGGCGCGTGTCGTGACGACGACGCGTAGTGCGGAGTGGCGACGGAGCGCGTGAGTGACGGTTCTGTCTGGTGTGTAGATGTCTGGCGGGGCGGCGTCCGTCAGTAACTTATTGAACTCGCAGCTCGCGCGGCAGCTGGTGGCGCCGCTGTCGCCGACGCCCAGGCCCTACGTACGGACGCCCCGTTTGTACCACGCACTCAACACCGCTTCCCATTGATTGGCGATACGGTCTCATTCTCACCCGCACGGAGCCCCTACACACGATTCTCGTACGCACACGGTCTTACCATCCTGTGCGATATGCATCAACTAAATAATAATAAAGATGCACTTCAACATTGATAAATAATTCATTTATTTTTTTGTTTTTAACACTTAATTATTTAGATTTTGAATTTATTACTGTTTTGAAAAACTGTGCACCCGAAAGCACTGTCTAGTGTGTGTGCACTACTTGCTCACGTGTGTTTTATTAAAAATGGCAATCATACATTCAATAGATCAAAGCATTGAGAATTCAACTAAAATTAGACGTCAAGTTTGGGTAATCAATATTGGGGGATATGATACACGATTATCGTGCAAGGGGCATATCTCATTCGTGGTTTTGGCTTCATTTTTATTTCAAATAATACCACTCGTTTGACAAAATTTAAGCTATCACTGTTAATTTTTTTCTTCTATTTTTGTTTAACAAAATTTTGGCTTGCGGTGTGATTAATTGGCTTTTCGGATTTTCGCCGTCCCCAGTCGTTTGGCTGCGCGATGGCAGAACAAAAACTCGTCCACTAGCTCCTTCAAAATTTAACAAAAATAATCAAAACATGGAAGTAAAGGTTTAGAGTGTGTGGTGGTGGCTTTATTATATGAACAATTTTTGGTCACTAAATCATGTGCATGCATTTCAATTCACACAAATCATGTAAGCTTAGCTGTAAGTTAACGGAATCGTAGCTTTGTTTATTACAGCGGCACGAATCGAACGAATGTGTCTACTACGTAGTCAATTGTGTTTCATAATTGTACATATTTGTTTATTTCCGCTGTGACACATTCGATTGATTTTCGTCGGAAAATAATCATCTTATTAAAGCGAACACATCTGGGTGCACGGCCAGTGTAACAAAGTTATATTAATGTCGCTTTCTGTAACGAACATCACCTCGTCGCGGTTCCAATTTTCAGTTTGAAATATTGAAATTAGAGTAAAGAGTTAATTTTCTTTGAGGTCTACATTTTCAAATATCCTACTAAAAATATACGAGATTATTGTGATTACCTACACAATGAATTGAAAAATGCAAACCGAAGATTAGAACCACTCTTCTTATTTGGAAGTCTTTAATTAGAGATGAGAGCCGTGCATATTGGGAGGTTCCAATGAATCTCAGGTACTCATCTCGAAGCGACGACTCGAAAGATGAGAAGAACGAGGTGTATGTGTCGCAATCGTCTCGCTCACACGTGTCACTGCGTGTCCACAGTACGGGGGCGGTAAGGCCATCGGTGCCGGGGCTCCCCCCGCGGCCGGCGCGCCGCGACGACATCCAGACTTCGCCAAGGGAGAACCCGCCTACGGAGGCGCGGGAGCTGCGCCTGGGCCTGCGCCCGGTGCCGCCGGGGCCGGGGCGGGGGCCGCGCCCGGCGCCCGGTTCTAGTTAAAAAACATAACTAGAGGGCGCCGCGTGGGGCGCGTCGTTCCCCCGCGCGCCCGCCCCGCCCGCGCCCGCCGCGCCCTGGCGCCCACAGCCCGGGGCGCCACAACCGCCCAACTGGACGCATCCGCCCTACTCCAATACGGTAAGCATACAACCATTCTAGTACGCTATACGATCGTATCATTGTGTTCAAGTTAAATTCAACTGTCAAATTATTCTTCACCATCACAAATTCTGTACGTTCTAATAAGGGTTTTTTATTCTAGCAAACATTATTATATGAGGTGTTTATAACATTTTCAGCCAAGTGGAGGTCCTGCGTGGGGTGGCGCTCCAAGGCCGCCTACACAAGACCCTTACAATTCGACTGCGCCATCACCAGTAAGTTGCAGCATTTTTTGTCTTGGTACTGAACACACCCCTTATGGAATTAATTTTATTGCAGACTGACTAAACAATGATTTTATTGTTTTCCAGGGCTCTGCTCCTGTTCTGACTGCTCCTGGACAATTAAAACGGGAGCTAACATTCCCCGCCGAGTGTGTGGAGGCGGCCGTACCGACTGGAGAAAAACGAAGAAGACTTACTAAGGCTGACGTAGCGCCCGTCGACGCGTGGCGTATCATGATGGCGCTCAAATCCGGGCTGTTGGCAGAGACCTGCTGGGCGCTCGATATACTTAACATACTGCTGTTCGACGATAACTGCATAGGATACTTTGGCCTACAACATATGCCTGGCTTACTGGACTTATTATTGGAACACTTCCATAAGAGTTTAAGTGACGTGTTCGATGCGCCGTCGAATGATGAGGGACCCTGGTACGCGCCACCTCCCAGTCCCGAACCCGTCGTTAAGAGCGCGAAAACTAAAAGAGAACCGAGAGAACCTCCCGACCCCGCCGACCGAGTGCGCATACTGAACGGAGAGAACTACACCATGGAGTCACGGCGGCGGCATCCCGTCATGTACAAACAGGACGAGGAACTGTTCGCGCCCGACGACGAGGACGAGCGCGAGCCGCTCGACGACGACGTGCTCGAGCCCTGGCAGTTCGGCGGGGACTGCGCCGGCGCCGCGCACGTCCTGCCCGTCTTCCGCTCCGAGTTCTTGCATCTACCCTTCGTGCGCGTCATGCCCGGGCAGCGCGCCGTGTCCTCGCCCGCGCCCGAACCGCGTGTGCCCTCGCCCGTCGCAGAGCCGGCGCCTGAACCTGAACCTGCGCCGCCCGCCTCTACCGAGCCCTCGGGCGACAACCTGGCGCCCGAGCCTATGGAGCTGGAACCCGCCGGCCGCTTGGCAGTCCGCGACCCGGCCGGCGTGCTGCGGCGCCGGCGTCTGGCAGACTACGAGGACGAGTGCTACACGCGCGACGAGCCCAGCCTCAACCTCGTCGACGAGACGCGCGACGCGCTGGCGCGCCGCTGTATCGCACTGTCCAACATCCTACGCGGCCTCACCTTCGTGCCCGGCAACGAGGCCGAGTTCAGTCGCTCCGGCGCCTTCCTGGCGCTGGCGGGCAAGTTGTTGCTGCTG